CAAGATTACATAAAACAAAATTTACAAATACGTCACTGAATGGATAACAAGATTACATAGCATCAAATTTACAAACACGTCACTGAATGCATAACAAGATTACATAAAACAAAATTTACAAATACGTCACTGAATGCATAACAAGATTGCATAACATCAAATTATATAAATATTTCGCTGAATAGATAACAGGATTACATTATATAAAATGTAAAAAATATATCACCAAATTAATAATATGACTCCATGCATATCAGTGTATCGTGAAAGCGGTAACAAGAGTACATAATGTGAATTATAAACATGGAGCAGCTGGTGAATGATATGTTGTCATAGCAACACTTATTGATAATGACCGTTCAACACCGTATCATTCATGTGATAACACATTATCAAAATGGTCATACTAGCGACACTGACAAAATCCGTTTCTGCTGCATTTCCATCTGTTGATAAATCTAGAAAAACAGTATAAAAGAGGTTTAAAAAAAAGCCATACCTTCATTTCTGTCGCACAGAAGTTCTATTGCAGACTTTCAGGTAATGTGTTTCAATTCGTAAATTTCAAACCTTTAAATGTCATTTAAACATGGATGTATTAACGTAAAGAGGAATTTACAGCTTGAAAATACCACATTATCAAATAAGTTCTTCCACTTCTTTAAAAGCTCTTTGTCAAATAGAACTATATTATTGTTTCCTTGTTTGTTTTGTTTTCTGAATTTCGCGCAAAGCTACACGAGGGCTATCTGCGCTATCCGTCCCTAATTTAGCAGTGTTAAGACTAGAGGGAAGGCAGATGGTCATCACCACCCACCGCCAACTCTTAGGCTACTCTTTTACCAACGATTAGTGGGATTGACCGTCACATTATAGTCAGACGAAAGAAGTGGGCAAGTGATATGATGACCAAGCCTCTGGACTTTTGGAAGACCGTATTGTTGTCAGACGAATCAATATTCGCTCTATTTTCGGGCAGTGGAAGGATACGGGTCTGGAGAATGCCTCATCAAGAGTTTTGGCTCAACAGATTGCAGCCAACTGTGAAGCATGGTGATTTCAGCGTGATGGTTTAGGAAGCTATTTGGGTTGGTGGGAGATCGAGTTTAGTGGAGTGCGTTGGCAACATAAATCGTGCGAAATACGTCGAAGTATTGGAGGAAGGACTCTTGCCACTTTATTCCTCGGGTTTCGTGGACAAGAACACAACGTTGTTTCAGGAAGAT